GGAAACGAGAGGAAAAGGAGGAGGAGGCGGAGGAGGAGGAGCGGGGAGGAGGAGGAGGAGGAGGAGGAGGAGGAGGGAAGGAAAGGATGAAACATGGATGGATGGACAGGACGGGAAAAAGGAGGGGGCAGGATGAGGATAAGAAGTAGGAAACGCATGGAGGAGGAAGGGGAGGAGAAGGCGGAGTAGGAGGACGAGGAGGCAGGCAGTGCTCGTCCCCCCTCTTCAGGCTCGCTCATCTGTCTCTCCCTCTCTCCCTCTCTCTATATTCCCTCTCCTGGCTCCTCCCTCCTCCCATTTTCTCCGCTTGCCCAGGCTCTCGCCCTCCTCCCGCCTCCCGCTTTTTCCCGCTCTCCTCCCCCTCGTCTCTTCGAGGATCGAGGATCGATCGATGATCGAGGGTCGATCGCGGCTCCTCCTCCCCCCTTCGAGAATCCGACTTTTTTTTCATCCCTTTCGAGAGTCGAGGCTCACAGGAGGGAGATCGATCCGCGATCCCCCTTTTCCCCTCCCCCCCGCCCCCCGCCTCCTCGCAAGGCCCCCCCGGCACTCCCAGGATGCCTGCCGAGAGGCCCCGGACGAATGGCCCGACCCTTCCCCAGGATCCCCCTCCCATGCCTTTTCGGAAGGCCGCGCCCCGTCCCCACCCCCCCCTCTTGCGCGCCGACCTGCCGTCTGGGTGCCCATACGGTGTGGTGACCACGCCGCGCGGTGAGCCAGTGGGGATTCTCCGCGCGGTTTTTGGGGACTCGCGTCTCTCTCTCCGAGGATGCGGCTGGGGCCTCCGAGGTCCCAAAGCCGCGCGGCCACGGACCGCGCGGTGAGGTCATTGGGAAATCTGAGTTCACCGCGCGGTCCGCCACGACAGTTCTGAGGCCCCTGACGACAGCCCTGCAGGTGGGCCACGGGCCGGTCCCAGACCCGAAGACGTGCCAGAAGCAGCGCCCAGCAATGAACATTGAGTTTTCTGTTTTTGGTCACTTCGAAACGGAGCAAACGATTTTGATGTTGTCTACGGTTCCGCCCGCACTCTTGTGCGACAGGCCTCCTCCCCTCCTCCCGCTTTGGAGTAGCGTTGCAATCCTCTTGCCTGTCCTCCTCTTGGTCTTGCACATTTCCCCCATATGCTGCTGCCTTAATGCGAGTACCCCTTGCTGTATAGGACCCTTGAGCCCTGCGGTGCGCTGGTATTGCTACACATGTTGCATAGAATTGCTCCCGCACCTAAGCAGCCGAGTTGGATAACGAAAGAGCGTCGTACCGCAGGACTACCGGGAACACCCAGGGCTGGTCGCTCGCCTGCCTGGCTACCGCGTGCGTGTGAACTTCGGCCTGCACTACGGCCGCGCGAGCGAAAACCTGTTCTCCGCCTCCGTCGCCTTCCCCCTCGAGTAGGAGTAAGAGGAGGGATGAGGGATGCGGAAGGGGAGGAGGGAGGATGAGGAGAGAAGAGGATGAGGAGTGATGCAAATGAGGAGTTCTGAGGATGAGGTGGATGCGGAGGAGAAGAGAGGATGAAAGGGGTATGAGGGTGAGGAGGAAGCTCCTCCCCCCTCATTCTCATCCTCCCCGTCCTAAGCCCCTTCCCATTCTCATCCCTCTCCTCCCACCCTTCCCCTCATCCCCTGGTCATCCTTCTTCCTGCCTTCTTCCATCCATCCTCGCCTCCTCGTCCTCTTCGGCGTCGTCATCCTGCGCTCCTCGCTGTGGGCGGCCGGGACAGAACGACGTGTTTTTTCTCGGGGCTCAAGAGACGGGGGTCAATTCAAACGGGGGTCAGCCAGAGCGCCGGATCTTGCAGGATCCTGCAGCTCCAGGGTCGCATTGACCCGGGTTTGGGTGCAGGATCCTGCAGTATTTTGCAGGATCCTTCGCATTGACCCGGGTACCCGGGTCTGGATTTACCCGGGTCAGAAGATGCCCGATTTTCGGTCTTTCAAGTTTGCGTTCGGTCACCGTTTCGATGAGCGTGCCAGCCATCGATCCATCCCTCCTCCCCAGATCTTTCCCTCCTCATCTCTCCCCCTACCTCCTCCTCCCCCACTTCCCCATCACCCTCTCCCCCTCCTCCTTCCCTTCCGTCTCACCGACCGCCATCGGGCTGGACGCACGCCGTTCTTGCTCGCGGCTGGGCCCTGAGCCCCCGGCCCAGGCTGGGCCATCGAGGGCGCCATTGGCTCCGAGTTCAAGATCGACGCGTCCTACCTGTCCCCCCACGTCAGCATGGCCGGCCAGCTGGAGGCGCCCACGCCTAGCGCTCTGGAGCGGCGGGCGCACCGGAAGGACGGGCCCCTCCTGTGCTCGGGCTCGGGCGCGGCAGGACGGCACGCTGGTTGCCCCTCCTCACAGGACGGTGTGCCCCGGGACCATGAATTCGCAGCAGAGGTCAGAGTGGAACACACATTCTGTTGGGTAAACACCCGCAGCGAGGAAGAGGGCATGTGAGAGTGTTAAATGGCATCCCCCTCCACTGAGCGTTTCCTGTGTAAACTGTTCAGGGTGTCGCTGCTACCTGCCGGTTTCCAATTGAATGCAGTTGAAGCTGGGGGGGCAACAAAAAGTCATCCCCCCTCCCCCTGGACTGTCGCTGTTCCTTACAGCGGCACCAACCCGGCTGCTGTACGCAGTCCGGGTACCCAAGCCGAGCGGAGCCTCCCCCCGCACATATCTGCACATCCTGCACCCCCGCTGCGCCCGACCGCCACGCCCGGCCCTGGCCGGGCGTGGTGCTGGCGGTGGTGGTGCATGTGCCTTCTGCGTGTGTGTGTGTGTGTGTGTTTGTACATTCGGATGCAACTCCTGGGAGGTCAAATCCTGATTTTGCCCTGGTCCGAAGTCTGGCTTACTCCGGCTTAATCCCGCTTAATCCGGCTTAATCCCGCTTCATCCCGCTTAATCCGGCTTAATCCTGCTGAATCCGAGGCCCACTCTTGCGTAACGGTCCCCCCATGCGGCTTAATCCTCTTTAATCCTTCCGACGAAAACCTCCCAGTAGTTGCCTCCTAATGTACAGTGGGGGCGCGCATAAAGAAACCATATGCTCTTTGTCAGGGTATCTTGGGTTTCTTCGCTCCTCGCGCTGCGAGGTGACTTCCCGCAGCCGTTGAAGGAGCTGCTGCGTTCAGGGTGCTCCGGGTTTTCCCTCAGGTGCACCTCGCGCACGGGTTCTCAGGGTTGGGTTTCTTGCGAGGGTTTCTTGCGGCCGCGCCCGCATTGTATGTGTTCTCTCCCTGCGTCCTTGCTGAGGTCCACCACGATGATCGGCATTCTCTCTTTCCCAGCCTCTGGTTGCTGAGACTGGCGGTTCGGTCTGGCAGGCCCCGCTGGAACTGCCGGCAAGCACTCGAGTTGAGGAGGTACGGGGGCGCTACGAGCGCCACCTGCTCCAAAATAGATACCGCTATAATTGCGGCATGCGGTCCCTGCAGGATCGGAGGGCGCCAACTGTACTACCGATCCTGGCCGGGCCGATCCTGGCAGGTTGGCCATCGACCCCGTGTGTTTCGCGGGCCTCAGCCCAAAGAATACGAGCAGGAGGATTAGGAGCGGGAAGAAGGGTGGAGGGGAGGGATTGAGGGGGTTATGCTTGGTGGGGGAGGGAGGGAGCGCGGGCAGGCGGAAGGGGGAAGGAGGGGGAACAACAGCAGGAGGATCAAGAGGAGGAGGAGGAGGAGGAGGAGCAGGTGCCCGCACCGGCAGCAGCCTCAATTTGTGTTCGCGCTTCGCTGCGTCGGACTCCTCTTTTGTTATTTTAAAAAAGCACAGCAGCCACGATGCGTATGCATTGCCAGCGTCAAAAGAAGGAGGAGGACGATGATGATGAGGAGGAGGAGCAATTTCAGGAAGAGGCAGAGGCGAAAGGGCTGTCCCGGGGGGGGGCCAGGCACAGCTCCGCGGCGCGGGGGGGCTTTCTTCCGAGGAGGGGTCCGCCGTGTGTCCTTCGCTCGCGGGGCTTCCGTGCCCTCCCCTGGGGACCAAGCAGTGGCGAAACGTCCTGGCTCGCCTATAGCCCTGCCAAACAATGTTCTAAGAACCTTTTGTGGTTCCCACGAGATATTCTTAGAACATTTCTGGTTGGGACTGTTTTGATGTATCACATCGGGTCTATGTTCTAAGAAAGTCGTTTTTGTTCTTAGAACATTTTTGGGTTCTTAGAACATTTCGTGGTAGGACTATGGGAATGCCGGGACGGTCGGTCCCTGCTCAAGGGGAGGGCGGAGGGACGAAGAGTCGGGGAACGTAAGGCTCGAGTTCGCCGGAACTCGGGTCTTCCGACGCTTTTTGACGATTCCCGTCCTGGATATTGACGGTCCAGTTTCTGTGGGATGTGTGCAGCGGGAGGTCGCGCCAAATTTCAGACCGGGTCTCGTCTTTTTACCGACGCACCCGCCAGGCCAACCCGAGTCCCCCGTACCCGAGTCTTGCGCTTCCCCGACAGAGGGCTTCATGGTTTGGGGAGGAGGGGTTGGAGGCTCCAAGGGTTTTAGGGTTCGCGGCGCAGGGCAGGGGGAGGTGTGGCGACGGGAGGATGAGAGGGTGACGAGGCTCATCTGGACGTTGGCGACGATGATGACGACGCATGCACCGACGACGAGTGCGAGGTCCACGATTCTGTTGTTGTTCATGATGAGGACGACGACGATGACGATGGCGATGACGATGACGACGATGATGAACATGTGGATGATGATGATGCTGGTGATGATGATGATGACGATGACCATGACGATGACGGTGATGATGCTGATGATGGTGATGTTGATGATACTGATGATGTTGCTGTTGCCGATGCTGCTGCTGCTGATGATGGTGGTGGTGGTGGTAATGATGATGGCGTTCACGGTGCTGTTGATTTTGATTATGATGATGATGGTGATGCTGAGGTTGATGTGGATGCTGATGTTGATGTTGCTGCTGGTGATGATGACGACGATGACGATGGCGATGGTGGTGCTTATGTTGATGATTGTGAGGATGATACTCATGATAATGCTGATGATGAGGATACTGATGATGATACTGATGATGCGGATGATGATGAGTCTGATGATGATATTGATGATGTGGATGATGGTGTTGGTGATGATGGTGATAGTGCTGTTGCCGCCTATGCTTATGGACGATCATGGTGGTGGTGATGATGACTGTGGTGGTGACGATGATGTTGGTGGTGATATTGATTGTGATGCGGATGATGATGCTGGTGCTGATGCTGATGGTGATGCTGCTGTTGCTGTTGATGCTGATGCTGATGATTATGATGCTGATGATGCTGATGATGCTGATGATGACGACGACGATGGATGATGATGATTGTGGTGATGGTGATGTTGATGATAAGGAGGAGGAGGATGATGCTGCTGCTGCTGATATGCTGATGGTGATGAAGCTGATGATGAAACTGCTAATGACGACGCTGCTGCTGCTGCTGATGATGATGATGATGATGATGCTGATGATGATGATGATGCTGATGATACTGATGATGATGATGATGATGATGATGATGATGATGATGATGATTCTCCAAATTGGCTTGCCCTATGGGAGTCCTAGCTCAAACCCTACTAATTGGTTCGTTGCCCCCCACCCCTCTTATTCCTATGCCCCCCCGCCCTAATTCCTATGGCTATGCCTATGCCTATGCCCCCCCCTATCTCCTATACCTACGCCTATGCCTATGCCTATGCCTATGCCTGCTTGCTTGCTTGCTTGCTTGCTTGCGCGCTTGATTGCTTGCTTGCTTGCTTGCTTGCTTGCTTGCTTGCTTGCGCGCTTGCTTGCTTGCTGAGTTGCGGATTCCAAGCATGCTTGATTCCTCTGACTCCTTGATTTGAGTCGTTTATTCTTCTTTTTGGAGTGAACGCTTGCTGCTATGATTGAGGATACCGATGATGATGCTGATGATGATGACGATGACGATGATGATGATGATGATGATGCTGATGATGATGATGCTGCCGCTGATGATGATGATGCTGATGATGCTGATGATGATGATGATGATGATGATGAGGATGATGATGATGATGATGATGCTGCTGATGATGATGATGATGATGATGATGATGATGATGATGATGATGATGATGATGATGATGATGAGTAGTTTTGATGCTGATCTTCATGAGGAGACATATGCCGCCGTGAGCCCTTCGCTAGCCGAGGTCATGGCCCATTCTCATGGGACAGGAGGAGGTCTGTCGGTCGGCCGGTCGATGCAAGATGAGGTCTCGTTTGGAGCTGGAGTGCCGTGAGGGGAGGGGCTCCCCGAGGGAGCCACACGGACGCAGATCAAGATCGAACACCAGCAGTGTTGGCAGCTCTTCTTCGCCGCCCTGCCCGGCGGAGAAGCGTCCACCAGCTCTAAAGGCAGGAGGAGGAGGGAGGAGGAAGGAAGCATTCAGGAGGGAGCAAAAACACACAGACACAGTGAATCGTCGATCCCCAGAAAATATGGGAAAATATGGGAAGTGGGGGGGGGAGACGAAAATCACCGAAATATGGGGAAATATTGGGGATCCTGTTATTTATGTGTATTTCTTTGTGTGTCCTGGGGCCCTTTGATGAAGGCAGGAGGAGGAGGGAGGAGGAAGGGAGCATGCCAGCGGGCGGCCGACGGGTGCAGACAGGAGCGGGAGCACAGGTCGGCCCGCGTGGGCCGAGGCCCTCTGAGCAGGGCCGAGGCCCTCTGAGCAGGGCCGGCCAGGGCAGGATTGCGAGCGCGAGCCCGGAGCCCTCGCGCGAAGGTGGGCACGAGGTCCCGATGTCAAGAAGGTGAAGCGTCCTGGCTCGCCTATAGCCCTACCAAGCAACGTTCTAAGAACCTTTCGTGGTTTACACGAAATGTTCTTAGAACATTTCTGGTTGAGACTGTCTTTTTTAAACACATCAGGTTAATGCTATAAGAACATTTTTGGGTTCTAAGAACATCTTTGGGTTCTAGAACATTTCGTGGTAGGACTAGGAATGCCGGGACGGTCGGTCCCTGCTCAACGATTCCGCCCGTCGTCGCCACTGGCGGATTCTCCAGGGGATCTTCCCTGGAAAACTCCAGGGAGAGAAGGTGGATGAGGAAAGGTACGTGGACAGGTTCCGGCTTGAATCAGGAACACTCGCTTTTCAACAGGGGCTCGGTCGTTCCTTTGGTTTGCATGCGTTCCGTTACCTTTTTGGCGGCGAGCCCCCTTGGTGTTCTTTCGGACTTCCTAGATTTAGAAAAAAGGGGCTTCGTTCCTTATTTATCGTTCCTTAGGCCTGCCGAATATTGTAAGGACAGGACGGGGCGTGGTCGGCTCACGCCGCATGCCCATCGCCCGGAATCCGAGGCAGTGACCAAGCAGTACCAGGTGCTGATTCTCGCGAGCGAGCCCCTGATGCGGCTGTGCAGCGCGCAGATGGAGGCGTACTTCCGGGCCGTGGACCGCGTGCTGCTCAGGGGAGGCGCTCCGTCTGCTTCCCTTCGTGGTGTTTGGGCAGACGAGGAGGGAAAGAGAACACACACCGACACCATGAATCGTCGATTCCCCAGAAAGCATCGGAAAGTCCGGGAAGTGGGGGGGAAAACAAAAACCTAGAAAGTATAGGAAAATATGGGGAGTCCTGTGTTATTTGTGACTATTCACTTGTGAGTCCGAGGGCCCCTTCAGGCAGACGAGGAGCAGGATGAGAAAACATCGAACGAGCGGGAGACAGAGGCGGGCGAGCCGAATGAATATGAGGATGGCGGTGTGTTCTCGGCTGGCTCACACAGGAGGCTCCTTTGCAAACATACCCGAAGACGAGCAAGTATGAACACACATGTTTTCGGACATATGTTCAACATCGACATAACTAGACGGGTATGCTCTTGCAACACATACTTTGTTTTGATGCAATCTGTTTGGAATGTTACAGCAAATCTGATTGCACTGTTTATTGTATTAAGTCCGTTTTGACTGTTGTAAGACTTGTGTAATAGGTGTTTCTCGAATCCGCATGAATTTAATGCTGTATCTAGGCATTTGAGAAACGCAGCTGGCTTGGTAATGTATGCGGCTTGTAATAGCTGTGCACTCGTTTTCTATGTTTCATATGTTTGAACACATATGTCTGGCATGCGTTTCGTTGATTCTCATATGTTGCATCTATGGTGATCTGTGGGCCCACGCGACAACACAACTCCGATAGCTGATGACGATGAAGATGTTGTTGATGATGATGATGATGATGATGATGATGATAATAATAGGGGTGAGAGTGACGATCGCGATGCCATTGACGGTGATGGCGAAGATGGTGGTGGTGGTGATCATAATGATGATCAGGATTGTGGTGACGATGACGGCCATGATAATGATAACGACGAGTGTGATCATGATGGCTGCGATGATCGCGATGGGCGAACGCAGGAGGACCAGGACGAGGATGATGCTTTCTGGTACCACATTCTGCGCGCCACAGCAGAGAGAGTGTGAGAGCGTGAGAGAGAGTGAGAGAGAGAGAGAGAGCAAGAGATACGGAGAGAACGAGAGAGAGAGAGAGAGCTTTTTGTTGCAGGACGCTGCAGTGACAAGCTTCCGGAGGTATTGGAACGCAGGGACATGTTATGATTGAGTTCGGGACATTGGATCTGGCCACCTTGTATGATGCAAACTCCAGGGTAGACACCATTTCTGCTGTGTCGCCAGGCCCCGCACAACTGGCAGGACAGCAACGTTCGGATTCGCACGAGCTGCCATCAGCCGAGAGGCCACCTCGAAAGCAGGTGCCCTCAGCGACGGCCGCTTCTGTAACTCCGAGAGCACAGCTCCGCTGTCAGCGAAGCCACCCAGCAATGCAACATCCGTGTCGTCCAACTCTTGTGCATCTTGTGAGGTGCCAGACAAAAAGTCCGCGGCGAGGGCCTCGGGTGCAGGAAAGATTCGTGCTAGAAGCTGCGTCGATCACCTGTTGCTGCTCCCATGCAGGCTCGATCACAAGCGAGCTCACCTTATTATTCTTCTTTTGCCCATATTTACATATATATATATAGTTGTTCCATCGGCTCCGTTCGTAGCACCAGCCGCTACCGAGGGAAGACAAGAACACGAGAAACGAGCATCCCACTCGAAAGGGGCATCACCACAGTGGACCGACGTGTCGAGATGGATACCGCCACTGAGGGCTGACCTGCCAGCACCGAAATTGGATTCCTGGTCACCGCCACTGCGGGCTGACGTGCCAGAGCCGTCATGAGGTACACCGCAAACATGGGCTGACGTGCCAGAGCCGACATGGGCGACACCGCCACTACGGGCAGACGTGTCGGGGGCTGCACCGTCACCATCAACTGCTGGACGTGGCCCGTCGCCAATCTAGAAGGTTTTCCCCTCCGAGGTGGCGTCAGGGATTCTCGGCCCTGCCGGTGGAGTCGGAGGTGTGGGCGGTGTCATGGGAGCAGGCGGCTGTGGAGGCCACCAACCCATCGCCGGAGCAGCGTCTTCCACCCTGACCAGCTTCGAACCCGCCGGCATGTCCTCACTCATGCGCTGGAGGATGCGCGCGCGTAGTCGTTCAGCACGTGCTTGCGACGCATTCTCATGGGCGCTGGTGGAGCAGAGTCCGTAGGGGCACCCTGCGCCGCCGAAGACTTCGGCGCATCCACAACCGTGGCCATGCCAGGGGGCGAGACCGCCCTGTCCGCAGCAGCCCGGCTGGGATACGCACTCAGATCACCAGGCGGGGGGGAGAATGGTGAGATCACCTGAACCTCCACCTGTGGCTTCAGCTCGGACTGACCCTGCAAAGCCTTCTGCGCCTCCGCTGTGCCCAGGGATCGCTGTCGGAGTGCAGCGAAATCTGTTCCGGAATTTGTATTCTATCATTCTAGCAATTGGCACTGGAATTCAGCTTGCTCACGCGGGTGGGCGGGAAGGGCGTGAGTTTTTTTTATCATACTTGTTCGGAGCATCGCTCCCAACGCCGGATCTGCTTCACTGGCGCCGACTCGGTCTGCTCCACCACCGCGGGCTGCTGCTCCACTACCATCGGCTGCCGGGAGCCAGATGCCAGGGGCGGCGGCTTCTGCGGGAGGCAAGCCTTGCGCTGCGGGTCCGCCATCGAGAAGAGAAACGTCGAGTGAGCCAAAAGGCGCTGCAAAATCCACAACGCGCTCCCCGTTGTCGCCGTTGACAAGGTGCGCCGGAACGTACAGGCGCAGCGACCCTTTAATACCATTCGCTGGTATGCCTCAGCGTTCACTGCCGCTTACCTGGCGGGAGCGCTCGAGCAAGCAGCACATGGCCAAGAGCCCTGGGGAGAGCGCGAGCCGTCAAGGATCCCGAAACAGGCTCGAGCCCGAGCTTGAGGATTTTTATATATGTATAGATATATAATATATCACATGTATAAATGAAGAAAAAGAGAGAGAGAGAGAGAGAGAGAGAGAGAGAGAGAGAAAGAGAGAGAGAGAGAGAGAAAGAGAGAGAGAGAGAGAGACAGAGAGATAGAGAGAGAGCGAGAGGGAGGGGGGGGGAATCGAGAGAAAGAGAGAGAGGGGTGGAAAGAGAGAAGAGACAGCGAGAGAGACGGAATAACCGAATGTCCTTCGGCATATTCCGCCACCGTGCCTGGCTTGTGGGAATTTAGCCTAATGGATATTCGTTGGGATCTCGTGGGGGGCCTTTCTTTCGGGGGCCTCTTGGAGGCAGGTCTGAGGTTTCTTTGGGGCCGTTTCAGAGCCTTTTTGGGGTTTCTTGAATGCCTCTGGGGGCCTCTTGGAGGCAGGTCTGAGGCTTTTTTGGGTCCGTTTTCAGAGCCTCTGGGGTTTTTTGAATGCCTTTTGGGGGCCTCGTGGGGGCCTCGTGGGTGGGGGCCTCTTGAGGCTTCCTGGGGGGCCTCTTGGGGGGCCTCTTGGGGCGGACTGCTCGGATTTTCGGTTCGTGTTCCCTCTCGTGGGTCCCTTTGGGGCCGCGTTGGGGCCCTCTTGGGTTGTCTTGGGCGCCTCTCGTGCTGTCTTTGGGCGCTGTTTGGCCGTCTTGGCCTTCTTGGAGGCTTCTTGGGCCATCTTGGGGTGGTCTCGGAGGCCTCTTGGGCCGTCTTGGAGCGTCGGAAAGCAGACAAGGCGAGTCCGCCCAAATCATGCAAACGCCATAGGAGTATCAATGGCTTTTGCCTCTTGGGGCGCTCTTGGGAGGCCTCTTGGAGGCAGCTTGGGGCGTCTTGGAGGCCTCTTGGGCCATCTGGCGTCCTGGAAAGATGTTTTTCGGCAGCCCGGGGCCCTCTTGGACTGTCTTGGAGGCCTCCTGGGGCCCTCTTGGCCCGTCTTCGGGCCTTCTTGGCCCCGAACTAGTTACGCGACAAGACGCGAGAAGCTCCGAGAGGTTTGAGAGTGAGGGGTCCGGGTCACTTAAATCATCTTCAGGAGTGAGGAGTGAGGCTCAGAGAGTAGGCAAAGGACCTGAGGGCGCGCCCATTCCGTGCCCAAGGGCACTGTGGTGGATATACAGGGACAGGGAACGAGAGAGAGAGAGAGAGAGAGAACGATAGAGAGAGAGAGAGGGGAAGAGAAGGAGAGAGAGAGAGAGAGATGGGAAAAGAGAGAGAGAGAGAGAGAGAGAAAGAGAGAGAGAGAGAGTGAGGGCGACAGCATTATCTGTGTAATATAATTAGCACACGCTAAGAACACACAGCAAATGAAGGTGGTGGATTAGGAGGATGACGAGAATGGTTCGTGCGATGCGCGAGCACCGACTCGCAGGCTGTCTGACAGCAGCATCTTGGGCGGACTTGATCGTCGTCTCGGAATCTTGACATGCCTGTAGCACGCACTGTACCCCAACCTCTTGGCGCCGCGGCGAAGTCACGACAGCAGAGTGTGCTTCAGAAGTCTTGGCATTTGGAGGCCAGTTCCAGGGGCAACGACTGATGGGGGAAGCTCACTCACCCCATGGGCTCGTTTCCAAACGACGGCTGTAAGTCAGGAGGGGAAAAACACACAGACACAATTAATCGTCGATTCCCCAGAAAAAATATGAAAATATGGGAAGTGGGGGGGATGACGAACACCCAGAAAATATGGAAACAGATAGGGAATCCTGTTATTTGTGTCTTTATTTTGTGTGTCCCAGGGCCCCTTCAGTGATTTCTTCCCCCCTCCCCACAGCTCGCGAGCCGCTCCGGCTCCACACCGTCGACCTGAACGCGGACATCCTGGAGTACGAGCGCGCCGCTCGTCCGTCGACCCGCCTGAACCAGTTCGAGCTCCGGAGGGAGCGCGAGGCGGCAAAGGACGAGGGACGCACGAAGTTGCCAGCCCAGATCTCCACCGATATGTTCTTCTCAATCCGGGCGCATTTCCTTGATTTCGAGTTTTTGTTGTTGTTGCTGCTGCTGCTGCTGTTGTTGTTGTTGTTGTTGAACATTATTTATTCTAAAGAATAATTATTGTTGGGCCCCCTGGTGCGCGCCCCCCCTGCGCCGCCTAGGCCGCAGCTACATTTTCATCATTTTCGTGAGGAAGCCTCAGAAAAGAGGGTGTGTACAGGATCCGGTTGTTTTGTTGTAATCCGCTTTCCCTTGCAAAAAACAATAGAAAATGACATTTCTTGTTCTAATATAATCAAATTTCAAGAATCCCTTGCAAAAAATAAGGTAAAGTGGACATTCGCGCGCGCAAGACGAAATCCTTCCAAAACCTTAGTGTTCGCAGCGATTTTAACATAAAAACATCAAAAAACCAATGGTTTTTCAACAAAAAAATGTCAAAATCTCATCCCGCGCGCTCTTGCGGATTCGTAGGAAACCCAACACTTTTTAAACATTTCTGTCAAACGGGCTTTTGCGAGCAACTTTTTCGAACTTCTGCGACAACGGTTGCGCACCTGCCAGGGCCATCATCCCTGTCAAATAATACCATGCGGGACACATTCGTTTTTTCTTCGCGCGCGCACGCCGTCGTCGTCGGCCGCGGGGCCCTGAATAGTAGCCACGGTCGTCCGCATGCCACGAAGTGAAGTGTCCGAACGTCATAGGGCGGGAAGCTGGGTGTGGGTGGTGGCGAAGAGTCGTTTGGAAATTTGGTAGAGCTTGAACCGGCCCCCCCACAAAGTGGGGGTATTGCCCGCCTCCTATGAAAACCCTGGCACTGGTGAGAACGGAGTGTCCCCACGTGCTAGTAATTGTTGTTGTTGTTGTTGTTGATGTTGCTGTTGCTGTTGGTGTCGGCGTCGTCGTCGTCGTCGTCGTGGTGGTGGTGGTGGTGGTTGTTGTTGTTGACGAAACCACTCACTGGCGCCGGCCCCAACCCCCCCCCCGCGCAACGCAACGCAACGCAACGCAACGCACGTTACCCCGAATCCTATAGGATGCCAATGGGAATCCTATAGGGTCTCTGCGAACCTTATAGGAATCCGAAAGAATTCCCACAGGAATCCTATAGGGCCTTTTACGAATCCAATGGGAATCCCATGGGAATCATATAGGAATCATACGGGGCCTTTACGAGTCCTATGGGAATCCCATAGGAATCCAATGGGAATCCTATAGTGCCTTTACGAATCCGATTGGAATCCGATAGGAAGCTTGTAGGAAGCCTATAGGGCCCTATAGGATTCCTATTGGAATCCCATAGGAATCCCATGGGAATCCTATAGGGCTTTTCGGATTATTATGGGGATCCCATGGGAATCCTTCGGGAATCCTATAGGGCCTCTACGAAGCCTGTAGGAGTCCTATAGGGCCTCTACGAATCCTATAGGGATCCGATCGGATTCATATGGGAATCCTAGAGGGCCTCTTACGGATCCTATAGGAATCCAGTTGGAATCTTATAGGAATCCTATAGGGCCTGCTATGGGAATCCCATAGGAATCCAATGGGTATCCTGTAGGGCCTTTACGAATCCGATAGGAATCCGATAGGAAGCCTGTAGGAAACCTATAGGGCTTCTCCGATTCCTTGAGGAATCCCATAGGAATCCTATAGGGCCTCTACGAACACTATAGGAATCTTATAGGAACCCCATACTATTCTTATAGGGCCTTCACGAATCCTATAGGAATCATACAGCAAACCTATAGGAATCCTAAAGGGCCTCCTGCGAATCTTATTGGATTCCTATAGGAGTCTCATAGGGTTCTTATAGTATAGGGCTTTAACCAATCTTATAGGACTCCTATAGGAATATGTTAGAAATCCCGGAGGGCCTTTACATATCCTATACATCGGAATCATATAGGGCCTCCACGAATCCTATAATACTCCTATATGATTTGTATAAGTAGCCGATATGGCCTCCACGAATCCTCTAGGAATCCCATAGGAATCTTATAGGACTCCTAGAGAGCCTCTGCGAATCCTATAAGAGTCCTGTTGGAATCCGATGGGAATCCTATAGGGCCTCTTCGAATCTTATAGGAATCCTATAAGAGTCCAATAGGAATTATATGGCCTCTTCGAATCCTATTAGGGATCCGGCGGGAAGCCTAGGGCTTTTACGAATCTTATGGGAGTCATTTTTTGGAATCTTATAGAAATCCCATAGGGCCTCTGGCCTCGCAGGGAGCTCCTCCGAAGCTTCATTTCGGCACACCCCTCTCGAGGATCGTGGCCCTGGCCTCAGAGGGAGCTCCTCCGAAGTTTCATTTCGGCACACCCTTCTCGAGGATCGTGGCCCTCCCATCACAGAGGGTTTCTCCGAAGCTTCATGTCGGCACACCCCTCAAGCATGATCGTGGCCCTGGCCCCAGAGGGAGCTCCACCGAAACCTCATTTCGGCACACCCCTCTCGAGGATCGCGGCCCTCGCCGCACAGGGAGCTCCACCGAAGCTTCATTTCGGCACACCCTTCTCGAGGATCGTGGCCCTGGTCCCACAGGGAGCTCCACCGAATCTTCATTTCGGCACACCCCTCTCGAGGACCGTGGCCCTGGCCCCACAGGGAGCTCCACCGAAGCATCATTTCGGCACACCCCTCTCGAGGACCGTGGTACAGACCCCACAGGGAGCTCCACCGAAACATCATTTCGGCACACCCCTCTCGAGGACCGTGGCACAGACCCCACAGAGAGGCCCACCGAAGCTTCATTTCGGCACACCCTTCTCGAGGATCGTGGCCCTGGCCCCACAGGGAGCTCTTTTCTTTCCCGTGCCAGCCCAGCCTCTAACACGCCTCTGCCGTGCAGGAGGCACGGCGGTGGATTTGACTCCCGTGGCTCTGGTGGCCTTGTGGCTGACGTGGGCACGCTCTTCTCCCTTTCTTCATGTGTGGTTCAAGCCATTTGGGCATGCGCCTCCCCCCTCTGGAGCAGGCCACTGAGGGACGCCGGGCAACACGCCGGGACCCATGGAGATTCTATAGCATCCCTTAGGGATTCTATCGCATCCCTTAGGGATTCGATCGCATCCCTTAGCGATGCTATAGCATCCCTTCGGGATCCAGTGGCAGCCCTTATGGATTCTATAGCATCCCTCAGGGGTTCTATAGCATCCCTCAGGGATTCTATAGCATCCCTCAGGGATTCTATAGCACCCCTTAGGGATTCAATGGCATCCCTTGAAGGATTCTATAGCATCCTCTTAAGGATTCTATAGCATCCCCTTAGGGATTCTATAGCATCCCTTTCCTACGGATTATATAGCATCCCTCAGGAATTTTATGGCACCCCTTATGGATTATATAGCATCCCTTAGGATTCTATAGCATCCTTTAGGGGTTCTATAGCATCCCTTACATCGGCCCAATGAAAGTTCCTGGAATTTTCATCACGACGCTGGCCGGCGGAAGTCGACGGAAGTAAAACTAGGCGGAAGACGGGGAAAGTCCGCCGGAAGGCTTGCCAGTGTCAGCGGAAGTAAACGACGCCCCTGCCGAACCCCCTACCCCCGTAGAAGCCTAGCAATGTTGTCTTCCTCCGTGGGCCGGGCGGGATCCCGCCTGGCTTATTCCGCTTTAATATTATAAGTTTAGTTCAGGGCGATCAAAATCCCACCCATGAAAAATGGGGTAGACCAAAATCCCGGGCCGTTCACGGATCCCACCATGCTGGGATCGGCTCGAAGTAAGATGGGGCTCATAAGTTGCAGTATTATTGCCGTGTTGGGGTCGTCTGGAGGTCATCTTGAGATCATATCCCGGTCATGTTTGGATCACGCAACCATCGCGTGGTCATTATGAGGCCACCCTGGGTGCGCTTGGATCCATCTTGTTGCCATCGGGCCATCTCGGCGTCACGCGTTGCTCATGTGTTTCGTCATCTGCGAGTCGGCCTGAGACGGTCCAGAATCCATGGCGGGATCGCGTTGGGGTGGCATCATCCTGGGTCCACTGGGCGTTATTGTCCGTGGCCTGAGGCATTCCTGGAAGCATGCTGTGGCCATGGGGCGTCTTGGGATCGCGTGCGTGCGAACGCTGAGCTCGCGCGCGCGACTTTTCATCTTGCCGACGGGCTTACATACATATGATTCCTCTTGCGAGTTTCCAAGGAAACTTTCGTTGGGGCCAAGTAGGGGTTCTATAGCATCACCTAGGGGTCCTGCAGCCTTCCCTTAGGGATTCCATAGCATCCCTTCAGGATTCTATAGCATGCCCGAAGGTTTCGGCTCGGGGGAGCGCGCATAGTTTCAGCTCGTGGGAATGCGTCGGCTTTCTTAAGGATTTCGAAGGATTCCAGGGGATTTTCCAACGGCTTCCTTTTGTTTCCGTTGCCAGCCATCTGTTGCGTTGCGTTGCGTTGCGTTGCCGGGGGGGGGGGGGGGGTCCGGGTCCACCAGTGAGATGTTTCGCCACAAGGATGGACCCTCACCGGGTCCACCAGCCGGTTGTTTTGCCTTGTTGAACATTATTAATTCTAAAGAATAATTATTGTTGGGACCCCTGGTGCACGGCCCCCCGCCGCGCCTAGGCCGCAGCTACATTTTCATCATTTTCGTGAGGAAGCCTCAGGTAATACGATGTCATCAAGATCCGGTTGTTTTGTTCCCCCCCGCTGTCCCTTGCAAAAAACACTATAAAATGAAATTTCTTGTTCTAAAATAACCAAACTTCAAGAATCCCTTGCAAAAAATAAGGTAAAGTGGACATTCGCGCGCGCAAGACGAAATCCTTCCAAAACCTTAGTGTTCGTAGCGATTTCAACATAAAAACATCAAAAAAACAATGTTTTTTTTTTTTTTTTTTTTTTTTTTTTTTTTTTTTTTTTTTTTTTTTTTTTTTTAAAAAAAAAAAATGTCACAATTTCATCCCGCGCGCTCTTGCGGATTTGCAGGAAACCCAACTTTTTTAAACATTTCTGTCAAACGGGCTTTTGCGATCAACTTCTTCACGTGCTTCGAACTTCTCCAACAACGGTTGCGCACCTGCCAGGGCCATCATCCCTGTCAAATAATACCATGCGGGACACATTCGTTTTTTCTTTCCGTGCGCACGCCGAAATCTTCAAAAACCATTGGGTTTCGTAGGAATTTTAGCACCGCGCAACATAAAATCATTTTTCGCACCGTAGGCCCTTCAAATCGTCGTCGTCGTATACTAAGCTAGTTTCCACAAGATGTTACCACAAGAAGTCATTGAAACCATGCGCCAGTGTAGTAGCCACGGTCGTCCGCATGCCACGAAGTGAAGTGTCCGAACGTCATAGGGCGGGAAGCTGGGTGTGGGTGGTGGCGAAGAGTCGTTTGGAAATGTGGTAGAGCTTGAACCGGCCCCCCCACAAAGTGGGGGTATTGGCGGGCGTCGCATGAAAACCCTGGCACTGGTGAGAACACTGAGCGTTCGGGTAAAATGATTGTTGTTGTTGTTGTTGTTGTTGTTTTATGTAGTTTTTTATTTTTCTCTGGGTGCGCCCTTCCTTGATTTCGACCCCTTGGGCCGGCTATCGGGCCGCGGGACCACGAAACATTTTTTGGGGGTTTGGGACGAGAAACTGGCCCCAGGGAGTGGATCAGGAGGTTTTGGGGCCGCGGATTGACGCAGAGACATCGGTGGATGTCGTGGTCGCTGCCTCCGCTGCCTCCGCCCTCCTTTGAAGTTTCCATGCGCTTGCCGCTGCACGGAGCGCAGCTGGCGCTTCGTTGCAGGCAGAAGGGAGCGCGCGCTGACCGCGCGCGCGTGCCGCCATGCCGTCTGTCAACATCAAGGCTGAGGTCGCTCCGAAGATCCTCACAAAGGGATCCCCCGAGCTAGCAGGAGAGGAGGATGAGACGACTCGTCTGTCAGGTCCAGAGGCTGTCTCGGAGCATGCAGTCCGGACTCGAGCGCGAGCCCCACCGAGGTGCTTGATCTCTGGTGTCGCAGAAAGGGGCCAGTGCAAACCCCACTCCAGCGTTTGCTCGCTGCCCGCTCCTATTTGGCGACTCGGCTAAAGCCGTGTTCTCTTGCCGCAGCGTTTTCTGAGCCCATCCGGCCCCTCCAGTGTCCCACAGGAGGAGAAATTGTCGCATCTCTTCAACGTGCCCAGCCTCTTCAAGACCGACGAGGACCTGAAGATGATGCGAGCCAAGTTTCCGTCCACCTTTTTCAGCAGCTTCCGCAAGGGAATGCTCAACTACGAGGCCGGCGAATGGGACGTGGCCCGCACGGAGCCCGAGCGGACGCAGACCATGTCTCTTCCTCCTTCTCCTCCTCCTCCTCCTCCTTCTCCTCCTCCTCCTCCTCCTCCTCCTCCTCCTCCTCCTCTTCCTCCTCCTCCTCCTCCTCCCCCCCTATCTCCGCCACTAGTTCCTCCCATTCACCAGAGTGAGTCCATGCGCCCTGGGGTCATCTGCCTTTGCTCAACTCATGCCCTGACCATTTGCTGATCCTCCTCCCTCATCCCTTCGTCCATCGCATCCCCTCCCCCTCACCCACTCGCCGTTCTTCCACTTCCTCTTTTTCTCCCCCTCCTCCGTCCTCGCCTGCCCCGCCCCCCCTTTTCCTCACCGCCGCCTTGGGCGATTCGGCGAGGGGCCCCGCCTGGGGAGAGGTAGGAAGAGAAAGAGGGGTAGGAGGAGGAGGAGGAGGAGGAGGAGGAGGAGGAGGAGGAGGAGGAGGAGGAGGAGGAGGAGGAGGAGGTGTAGGAGGAGGAGGAGGAGGAGGAGGAGGAGGAGGAGGAGGAGGAGGAGGAGGAGGAGGAGGAGGAGGAGAACGAGTGTAAACCCAAGACTCGTCAGCGATGCTGGACTAAACCCTCCCTCCAAGCCAATATCCATTTACACTAAGGGAAGTGCCCCGTTTTGAGGGAACCACTTGATCGGGACTCCAACGCTACAAATCAACCCGAGTGTTGTGTCTTGACGATCCTGCATCGTGCCAGAATGCTGAAATTGGGACTTCAACGCCGCGAATCAACGCAACTGCTGCGCCCTAACAGTCCTGCATGTTTCCAAAACACATGTTTCGGTACGTCCATCATTGGACTCCGTGAAACTTATGGCCCGTCGCAAAGGCGGCAGCCACATGTTGAAAACGACCCGCCCTCAGTCTGTGGAGTTCGCAATTGCGGCGTTACGGCGAGAGCCACATTTTGAAAACGACACGTCCTCAATCTGTGGAGTTCTTGCACATCTTCACAACGAATGTGTGCGTCGTTACGGCGAGAGCCATATTTGGAACACCACCAACCCTCCATGTGTGAAATTGTTTTCATTTCCTCAAGGTTCAAGATCATACGTGGTAAGGGAGTCTCATGCGAAACGCCCAGGATGCCCTTCCGACTGGCCTCGGGTTGCGACAAGGATGAGTTGTTCATCAGGAAAAGGAGTGGAGCCCGATCATCCTCACTCTTCGCAAGGAGCTCGAGCTCACGCGGAACATGCTGTGGGGACCCAGCTCCCCGGACGGGCCATCCAAAGCGCTCTTGGACTTCATGGCGCAGTTCGACTACGAGCCCTCGCGGGCCACCCCGAAGGGGTGGCAGGGGGCCCTCCGTCACAACCCGCTTTGGCCCCCGTCCCTTCCCGGCTCCCGCTACCCCCCCTTTCCGCCCTTTTCCTATATTCTCACCTCCGCGGCCCTCTTCCCTCTTTTTCCCGCCTCCCCTTTCCCCCTCCCACCCCCTCCGCCTTTTCCTTCTCCCCCTTCTGCGCGACCCCCCTTCCCCCCTCCCTCCCCCCACCCCTTTTTCTCATTCCCCTCCTCCCCCCCTCCCCTCCTCCCTCCTCGTTTCGCTTCGCGAGAGCTCGAAATCTCTGCATCCCCCCTCCCCTCCCCCTCCCCCCTCGAGCCACTGATGGGCCTGTTTTCCACCACCACCACCACCATAAGTTGGAGAGGGGAAGGAGGTGGAGGACGAGGAGGAGGAGGACGAAGAGGAGGAGGAGGAGAAAGAGGAGGAGGAGGAGGAGGAGGAGGAGGAGGAGGAGGACCCCCTCCCCCTCCAACTTATGGTGGTGGTTGTGGTGGTGGAAAATAGGCCCATCATCCCCTCCCCCCCCTCTCGAGCCATACCGGCTCGAGGTCCGCGGTTTCCCGCCGGGCGATCGGGCCGCGCCCGTGTTTCCGCGCGTGGTTCTCGAGGGGCCTGCGCGCGCGTGGATCACGGGTCGCCGCCGTCGGTTTAAGCGGCGCCGAGGTGCTCAATCGGTCAGGAGGGGAAAAACACACACAGACACAATTAATCGTCGACCCCAAGAAAGTACGTGGAAAATATGGGAAGTGGGGGGGAAGGCAAAAATCCAGAAAATATGGGAAATATGGGACATGTTGTTATTTGTGTCTGTTTATTTGTCCCAGGCCCCCTTCAACCAGTGGCGAAACGTCCTAGCTGACCTATAGGCCCACCAGAGAATGTTCTAAGAACCTTTTTGGTTGTCTGCACAAACTGTTCTTAGGACATTCCTGGCTGGGACGGTCTTGTTCTGACACATCTGGCTTGCGTTCTGAGAACATTGTTCTTGTTCTTAGAGCATTTGTTGGGTTCTAACAACATGCCGTGGTAGGCCTATAGGAATGCCGGGACGGTCGGTCCCTGCTCAAACATCAGCCTCGCCGCGTCGTGTGTTGGCATCTGTGGCGGGCGCCCGCCCGCGATGGCTGAAGTGGGCGCGTCCCGTGGGTGAACGACTTTCGCAGGGACTCCGATGCGGAAGGCGGCCATCAGGTCTTCTTTCTTCCCCTCGTGAGCCAGATTCTCATCATCGTCGGGACCAACCATCCCCACCCCCACTGGGGCCAGGTAAGTTGGCTCTCCCAGCGAACCCCATCTAGGTGGGGATCCTCAGGGGGGTAGATTGCCCTTCGGGGCCAAGGTTTCCCCTGTGTGTGGGGGGGGTGGGGATTGTTTTCCTCATCCAGAAGATGGTCGAGGGCGGTCTCGGTCCCCTCGGCAACGGCGTCAAGGAGGAGGCCCTGACGATTTTGAACTCCAGCAGCGGCTGCTCTGGGCCAAGCTCGCATTTGCGTGTGTTGGTAGAGGGGAGGCTGATGCGCGGCAGCGCCTCGCTTCTCAGGCGCAGCAGTGTCTCGAGACGGGCGCAAACTTCAGGTCGCCATCGCCGACGCCAGGCGCAATCAGGGCGAACATATCAACAGTCCGTACGATCCGTATTCGTCTTGGCTGGCGCAGCAAGGTCCGCTACTTCGAAAGGTTCATCAAGCACAACGAGCATCGTGGAGGACCGCATGGGCGGGGCAGTGTACCCCGACAGTCTGCATAGCGGGTTCGCAAGGGCGCGTTCCGCTCCTCTTATTCATGGGCAGTGTGGTGGTAGTCCTCATCCGTAGGCGTCGGCCCACTTTCTTGCATGCTCAGCCAAACTCGCACGGCGGCGACACAGATCGGAACCAAGTGTTAGTGTTTAGTGTAGGTGGCGTGACCCTGGTGGGATCAGGTCAGCAGACCTTAGGTCTTCAGGAGGACGTAGTGTCGCGCAGGGTCGCAGTTGACAGGAGCGGCGCCCCCGAAGGCGGTGATCCTCCAATTGCGCATGAAGATGGGAGACGCGACTTCTGGCCATTGCTCCCAACATTTCAGCGGTCCTTCCTCGGCGTGAGTCTAGGTTGTTCCGAGTCGCTACTTCCCAGGGCGTGCTGAGAATTCGGCATGTTCTGCAGTGTGTCGCGAGGCATCACTGCAGTGATATGTGTGTCGCGCAAAAGTCTACGTCCTTGTGCGTTTGCACCCCCCCTGCACTGGGCAATCTTTTTTTGGGGGGGGGGGGGGGTAGAACCGCCGGCGCAGCTCACGCTGCAACTCGATTCGGTTGCGCCCCCAGGCAACATGGTAATGCTTGGTACAGTCGGACCGGGGTTTAAGATCGAGGTCGGTTCGAGGAGTGTAATTGGATGTTCTTGCGCATCCTGGGGGAGGGTACCCTCGAATGTTCGCTAGTTTGGCCGGCGGAGGGTCCCATGTTCTTGAAGGGAGCTCTTCTGTCCTAGCTCCGCCTGTATGTGTTTCCCCTAGCCAGGCGTCATGAGGGCTGGCGTGCTGCAGTTTCTTACCGCGCTGCGCGATTTGCCTTGCCTCCTCCGCCGATCTCCCCAGGTCCGGAGCGGTGCCCAAAAGCTTTCGAGATGCCTCGGCGGTTTTTGCAGCACGAGCTGTCAGATTCGAGGCCCGGCTACAAGTCGAAAATGACCCAGCAGGGCGATCATGGCGTTGGTTCCTCCGCTGATTCTTCGGCGTCAGGTGAGAATGGCGCCAGTTTCTTTGCTAAGCCGTCGGGGGCTCTAGTCGAGCAAGCCCCTCCGCGCACGCGCGAACGTTGCCCCCCTTGTTCGAATCCTAGGGCATCTTTCGTACCGCTGACGGGGCCTTTTCGAAACCGCGAGAACTCGTCACTCGCTGGTGGAGTGGTCAGGGAGCCTTCTGATCTGGGCGGACATCTTAGGCGCAGACGAGTTCGCGCGCTTTCTAGAACACCAGTCAGGAGGCGAGTATATCACGGCGACGTGCTGCTTCAATGCCTATGAAGAGGGAGCCTGCCTCCAGTGAGTCTTCGGTGCCTTCAAACAGTCCTGAAAATCTGAGACCAGCCACCCACCCGTCCTCTGGCTCCAAGGCAGAACGACGCTACTGACACTAATGATTTTGTTTTTGTTTTGCAAGAATGGGAAGTGGCATTGTACTGGTCCAGAATGTGGGGTCGCCGTCCCCGTCGTCTGGATGCCGACATGATATAATATGAGGCCAGCGCGCTTGGGAGGGACAGTGGCGCGGCAAGAATACGATCAACACCAGCAAGTGTCAAAGGATTGGCCTCTGCGTTGCACCCGAAATGGAGTCGCCGGTCTGCCTCTAGGACCGCCAGAATCCCAGGGAGAGGTTTTCCCAGCAGAGCCCCAGTCGTGGAACTTCGATCCATTCACCAAGGTTTAAGTTACACGTCTTTTGCTGCTATGGTTGGGCCGGAGTTCCGCACAATTCTGGCTGCGATCTTTTATGTTCTCTGCCGAGTGTAGCGGCCGAGCGTCCTCCTCTTGCTATCATGGCCCTGTCTTCAGGTTATTGGTAAGTGTGTATACATACATACACGTATATATAGACATATGCAGGTATATATGTATACATATATACATTTACATTCGTTAACCATATACAACTATGTACATCTTCATATGTGTATATTGATGTACATACATAATATATAGAATATATACATGTATCGGTTGGTTATTGCGTAGTTGGGGGTGTATGGTCGGCGGCACGCGCGGCCGAATATTACTACTTCGAGGTGGTCATCCTCAACAAACGGTGCCCCCTTGCAGTCAGGGCTTCATTTTGGCGTTGGTGGCGCTCGTTGCTCCCGTGTTTGGGTCAGGGGCAGTCGCTCGAGGGCACGCTGATTTTCATCATCAGTATCTGATCTCGTTGTTGGTCGTGGCAATCCTCTCCTGCCCCTCCTCCTCGTCCTTTCCCTTTCCACCGCTCCCCTCCCCTTCTTCCCCATCCCCCCCCCTCCCTCTTGCTCGCTTCGCTTCTCGAGCTGAGGTGTCTGCGCGGTGCCCTCGTGGCCCCGCTTCTGGGGCTGGGCTCCCGTGTCCGACCTGACAGTGGCGGGTGTCTGCCCGCCTCGGCCCGTCCCCGTCGGCTCGCCTCTTTCCCGCTGGGCCTCGCTCCGAGGAGCGGGGAAAAACGACGCCACCACCACCACCACCAGCGCAAGAAGCCAGGGGAGGAGGGTCCTACTAGTGGTTTGGTCCCCCCTTTCCCGCTCGAGGTATCCCCTACCCCCAGCTCGGGGAGGCATCGTGGACCTCGCTGGAGCTGGCACCTCTGGTGGTGGTAGAGTCGCTTGTCTTTTCTCCGATCTTCCAGACCTCGCGTCGACGGCTGGGGGCAATTTTTGGCCGAGGGCTTTTGGAGGGCACCGGGGCTGTCGGAAACGGACCCTGGATAAAAGGCCGTTCTGGGGGAAGGCGTCGAGACTTTCGCGGGGCCCCACGTGGCGACAAACATTGCGACGTCGGGCGTCCCCGATTCCCTCGCTGTTCCCTCCCCCTTCCCCTCTGGGCCCTCGCCACTCCTCGCTCCTTCCTTCTGGGGAGGCGGTGGGAATGGGGGGAGGTAGATCGGACAAGCGGGCGTGACGGGGGGGTCCTCGCAGGTGGCCTGGCTTCCGGGAGATCGCGGGCACGTAGGGCCAGCCGTACGCAGCCGCCGTTGCCCCTGTTGCTGTTGCCTTGTCCTCCTCGCCCCTCTGGGAGGACGCCAGCTATCCTTCCAGTTCTCCGACGACGCGCTTTGTTTAAATCCGGTCGTTTTTCCCCGGTTTTGGCTCCTGGAGGTCGTTGTTGGGCCCCTGGGTCGTTGTTGTGCCTCTGGGTATTTGGCGTGTCCTGGTCCTCATTTGTCACAGCATCGTTTATCGAATCTCCATCCCCACTGGGCCATGGTATCTCAGCCCTGCCAGACCAGCCCCCGAAGATGGGGACAGGCCCTGCGGAGCCCGAAGGGAACGGCACATATCCCCCATCCGGGGCGATAGACCGGCAAGTGGGGCCAATGCCATGCAAGTGGGGACAGGGATCGGTTAAAAACGATCCTCACTGTCCTTCGCCTCCTGCCTCCGCCCCCCCCCCCCCCTCAACGCCGGGCAAGCGGTCGCGCCTGCCAGGGGGCCCAGGCAGGCGGAGACGCCGCGGGGCCGCAGCGGAGCCCAGACCCAGCAGCCCACGCCTGCGCCTGGCTTCTCCCCCTCTTCTCCTCGGGGTGGGGAGAGGATCCAGTTGATCGAAACTGTTTGGACATATGTGCACATATACACATGCATAATTGTGTATATCGCTGTATGCATGTAAGCATGCGTGTATGTATGTATGTATGCATGCATGCATGCATGCATGCACGTATGTATGTATGTATGTATGTATGTATGTATGTATGTATGTATGTATGTATGTATGTATGTATGTTCGTACGTACGTAACTGTGACTGCACATGTAAACGTAATGTAACGTAATGTATTGTATTGTATTGTACTGCCTTGGAATGTAAGGTAAATGGGATGAAGTAACATATTTATGTATCAATGCATGTATGTATGCACATATGTATGTACGTGCATCTGTATGTCTGCATGTCTGCATGGATGCATACATGTGCACACATTTTTCTGAATGCATTTATGCATGCATGCACGGGCGCACGCATGTATGTTTGTATGCATGCATGCATTCATGTATCTAGGTTTGCATGTGTTCATGCTTGCATGGTTGCATACATTATTTGTATATACACGTACAACCGCACACACAACTATATACATATATATATATACGTATATATATACATACATATATATATACGTATGCATGAATGCATGCATGTGTGTGGGTGCGCCAGACGCATGGGTGCGCTCCTTAGCAACGTCGACAGCACCCTCGCCCGGGAGGCCTGGCTGGGCATGTGGCGCCCTCGATGTTTCCTCTTGCAGTTGGCGCGTGCGGATATCCAGGTCTCGCAGATGATCAGCGCTTCCCCAACAGCTGATTTACGCCTCCAAGAACGACTGGGGTGGCAGCGCAGAGTCACGATAGTCTGTCGGGGGCCTCCCGGAGCACATGCGCAGCCCCATCTCCGGCGCAGGCTGGATCGTTGGAAGATCGCCACTCTCCCTGGACGAAGACCAGCTCGGGCACAGCGACACTTACAGCAACTGGCGCGTCACTGCCATCCCCGGGTGATAGCCGCCCATTTGCGGACCATCTTCAACGGCTGGTGCACGAGCCACAGGTTCCAGGGCGCAGGCCCCTGCCGATTCGCTTGCGGCGGCGGCCGGGACAAGCTAGAGCACTTCGCGTTCTGCCCCACAGTGAAGGCCCTTTTTTCTGAGTTCCATCTCCCACCTTCGGCGTCCGGCTTAGAGTTGAACACTTTTTTAGGGCTACAGGAGTTGCCGGTGCAGGTGGGCACCTCCCCGGATATCCTGTGCCACCGGCAGGGGGTGGCATTGTACGCTTTGTACCGTCTGCACGGCGCCCTCCGCCATGGAGTGGTGGAGGCGGCGCACATCCCTGGCGCGTTCAGGGAATTTTGCCGCCAAGGCGCATCAGGTGTCAACCAGAATGAGGATTAGGTCCGGCCATTCGTGGTACGTGTTTCACTTGCTGAGTGTTCCTCCTCCCGCCTCCTCCTCCTCCCGCTTCCTCTCTCTTCTCCCGCCCCTCCCTCCGGAGTGCTGCTGTGCGTTTAATACGTTATTATAAAGCGGCCGTTTGGGCTGCAGGGGAACGTCGCACAGCGCCCTTGCCCCTTCCTCTCCTCCTCCCTCGTCGTCTTTGTTGTTTCTTCTTTCCTCCCTCCTCTCTCCTCGGATGTGCGCCCACAATTTTGGCCACGTTCGCAGGACAGCTCCCGCCAGGTGATTGTGCATGTGCGATGCCGCGCACGTCGTGCTCTTCACTGGTTCTCTGCCGTTCGGCCCTGTGCGGAAGCCAGGTGCCGCGGGAGCGTGGTCTGTCACGATCGCCGTCCGAGGCCCAGAGCGCCCAGGCCCAGAGAGCTCCCAGGGTACACGGAGTCTCCTAAAGTTGCTTGCAACAAAAAAATGAATGCATGCATGTGTGTATGCACGTATGCATGCATGCATCCCTGCATGTGTGTATGTATGAATGCACGTGTGTATGCATTCCTACATGTATGTATGTACATTCGTACACACGTACGCATGTACGTGCATGTGTATGTGTATGTGTACCGGTATGTGTATGTGTATGTGTATGTGTATGTGTATGTGTATGTGTATGTGCATGTGCATGTGCATGTGCATGTGTATGGGTATGTGCATGCGTATGTGTATGTGTATGTGTATGTGTATGTAGCCATGCATGGATATGCATGTAGCGTTATACATAGTGTGTTGTTGCTGTTGCTTTTCTCGATCTGCCCCCCGTCTCTCTCTCTCTCTCTCTCTATATATATATATATATGCATGTGTCTATATATGTATATTTACACACCATGCATATCATATATGGCGAAGACGCCCACGGCAAACCACTGCCGATCCTTGCCTTTGGAAACGCCAGCGCGGTCAACCGTTGGGCCGACACCTGGCGAAGCTATTAGAATACGTGTTCCCCGGCAGTTGTGGAACCCCTTAGGGGGGGGACATAGAGGAGAGTCAGAGGAAGGATGATGAGAGGGAGGAGAACGAAAAGGAGGAGGATGAGGAATAAGAGGATGCCTCTTGAGGCCCTCTTGGGGCCTCCTGGGGCTTCCTGGGAGCCTCTTGGGGGCCTTTGGGACCCTCCAGTGTGCCTCCTGGGGTCTCTTAGGGGGGCCTCCTGAGGCCTCTTTGGCTGCCTCTTGGAGTTCTCTGAGGGGCCTCTTGGCCTTTGGAGGCCGTTTTGGAGCCCTCTTTGGGCAGCCGTGGGTCCCTCTTCGGGCGCGTCAAGGCCACATTGGAGGTATGGAGCCGTCTTGGTGGCGTCTTGGGGGCCTCTGAGGCCGTTTTGCGGGCCTCTTGAGGGTCTCTTGGACCGTCTTGCGGCCATCTTGGGGGCCTACGGGGCCGTCTTGGAGCGTCGGAGGCTCGCCAAGGAGAGAACACTATAATCATCGGATAACCTAAGGAACATCAATGATGATGGGCTCGTGGTGATTCTCTTGGAGCCCTCTTGGGGCGTCTTGGGGGGCTCTTGGGCTCTCTGGGGGGGGCATCCTGAGCCGCGTCTTGCTACCACCTTGGGCTCTCTTGGGACAATCTTGGCCGTCTTGGAGGCCATCTTGGAGGCCATCTTGGAACAAGACTGGGGGTCTTGTAGGCGAGTTTTCCGGGTGTTCCCCTTCTTGTGCGTTTTTGCGCGTCCTTCCGCGTCCTTCTGGGTGGCTTGCGGGTTGGGACGAAAGCGCATTAGGAAGCGCTGTAACGGACCACCGACTACCCTAAAGTCTGGCACGCCGTGCATCTTTGTGGCAAGCCACAGTGGGCGGCGGATATCGAAGACGCCTACGGCGAATCACCGCCGCCCCCTGCCTTTTTGGAAGCGCTTATGTGGCCGAACGTTGAGGCCATATCTGCCAAGCTATCGGACCACGTGTTCCCCGAATCGATTTGGAAAGCCTTCGGGGAACACGTGGGCATCTTGAAGATGCTCTTGGCCGTCTGGAGGCCATTTTGAACCTTTCGGGCCTTCTTGGAGGACGTCTTGGAGGGCTCTTGGGCCGTCTTCGAGGCCATCTTGAGCGTCTTAGCGGCCTCTTGGGCCGTCTTGGGGGTCTCTTGGGGCCGTCTTGGGCCTCTTGGGCGATCTTTGGGGGCTCTTGGGCCGTCTCGGGTCGTCGGAAGGCTGCACAAAAAGCAAATGCCACAATCCTTCAACAATTATTGGAAATCAATGATTTTGGCCTCTTCGGGCCGTCCTGGAGGCTCTCTTGGAGGTCTCTTGGGCCGTCTTGGGCCATCTTAGGGCCATCGTCGGCCGTCTTGGTGGGCTCTTGGCCCGTCTGACGCCGTCGGAAGCCGTTTGCGGGGTCTCTCTGGGCCGACTTGGGGCCTTCTTGGGGTGCTCCAGGGCCTTCTTGGAGGCCATCTTGGGCGTCTTAAAGGCCTCCTGGGCCGTCTTGGGGGCCTCTTGGGTTCGTCTTGGGGGCCTCTTGGGCCGTTCTGGGGCCATCTTGGAGGCCCCTTGGGCGATCTTTGGGCGATCTTTGGGGGCTCTTGGGCCGTCTCGGTCCGTCGGAAATGATGACAAAATCCTTCAAAAACCTAAGGACAATCAGCGTTTTTTGCGATTTCTGGCTTTCCTGGAGGCCCTCTTGGAGGCCTCTTGGGTCGTCTTGGGCCAGCTTCGAGCCAACTTCGGCCATCTTGGTGGGCTCCTGGCACGTCTGACGCCGTCGGGAGCCGTCTTGGGGGCCTCTCTGAACCGTCTTGGGGTCCCCTTGGGGCGCTTCGAGGCCGTCTTGGAGGCCATCTTGGGCGTCTTGGAGGTCTCTTGGGCAGTCTTGGAGCCCTCTTGGGGCCGTCTTGGAGGCCTCTTGGGCCGTCATGGGGCCCTCTTGGAGGCCTCGTGGGCGATCTTTGGGCGATCGTGGGGGCCTCTTGGGCCGTCTTGAGCTGTCGGAATGCTGAGAAGAGGCAAATGCCAACATCCTTCAAAAACCGAAGGAACATCAATCATCTGGGCCTCTTTGGGCCCTCCTGGAGCACCTCTCGGAGCGTCTGGGAGGCCTCTTGGGGGCCACTTGGGCCGTCTTAGGCCATCTTGAGGCTATCTTAGGCCGTCTTGGGTGCATCTTTCGCCGTCTTGGAGGCATCTTGGGGCCAGCTTAGCCGTCTTGGAAGCCATCTTGGGCCATCTTGGGCCATCTTGGGGCCGTCTGGGGCAGGAAAACCGTTGGCAACCACCTCCTTCTGGGACCCCTGCGGGACGCGCCGGAGCCCCAGGGGGAGTTTTTTGGAAAAAGAACGAAAACCAAAACCGAAATCATCTAGCACGCCAGGCACCCCTGTGATGAATCGACAGGGGGCGGCGGATAATGGCCTTCGGCACATCTCGCCACCGTGCCTGGGTTGTGCGTCAGCGGCCTCGTGGATGCTTCTTGGGGCCTCTCCGGGGAGCTCTTGGGGATGCCTCTTTGTGGCAGTTTGAGGCCTTCTGGGGGCCTCGTGGGAGC